TAAAAATAAATGCATATAACCTCAGCTCTAGAGAAACAAATGTATTTATAATAAAGTTGTAAATTTGTAGTACAGATGTTACAGATATGCATGCAATATCACAAAATATCACAAAGAAAAAAAACACAATAAGTTAAATTATTATTACAGATGGTGTGTCAAACAAACAGGTACTGAAGTACAGTGGCCAGATAGTTCGCTACTGAAAATTTTGTTCCCAGACATTTTGATACCAGTCTTTTTGTCACTAGGGTATTTCGCTACCTGATAATTTTATGTCATAATCTCCCTTATATATCTTATTTAAGATCATAAAGTAAAAAATATTTCATCTGTATTAGTTCATTAGACAAACATTCCAGTAAGTAAAATATTAGTAAATATTTATTCCATATTAGTTTATTAGAGAAACACTCCTTCAAAATAAAAAAGGATTTTATGTTGTAAAACATTTTATTTAAAATGATGAAAAATCTGAACTTTTTTGAAATGATTCAGGCTTTCCTTGAATAGTTGTCCAGCCACTGCCTCAAATAGTTGTTGAGCCATAATGAGTTATTTATACGGAGCTGGAACAGGTAGCGAAATACCTTAGTAACATATATTTCTGGTAGAGAGCTGACCGGTAGCGAAATGTCCAGGAAAGAAATGCTCAGTAGCGAACTGTCCTAGATCCCTGAAGTACACATAACTGATCCAAAATCCATCTCTAACACATTACATATGTTTCTTTTCTTGGATTTTGAAGATCTTCCTCCGAAAAAAATAACAACAAATGATTGGATGTACTTGTGAACTTAGAAAAACACACTTTACTAAAATATTATGCCATTTAAGGGCCCTTTTTTTTACCCTCTACTTTTTTGTTTCATAGGATTTTCTTCATATTTTAATATTCATTTTATTGAATTTTTAATGGAGATACGTTTTGCACTAAAAAATGTGAAGTTCATTATGGCCCATATTATACATTTTAATACGATTATAGCCAAAAAATTTATCTAACAACCTCTGAAATATTGGTCTTATTGTTTACAACCATCAAAACTACAGCAGTCTAACTTTTCTGTCCAAAAATACTACTTATACCAATTAGGGGATAACCTGGGTCTCATATATTCTAGCTGTGACAAGACACAATTAGAGTTATTATACAATTTCAATGACACACCTGAATTGAATTTTTAAGAAAATCATTTGTCAGGTGACTAGTGATGTGATCTGATATTCATATTTACTATTAGAGTCTCTGTCAGCAAACTGTTATTTGGCACCACAGACTTTGAAACCCAATAAAATATATAAAAAAAAAACATTTGTTAACCCATTGATTGTGGCTGTTCTAAAAGTGTGCGGAAATTTTGCAAGCCATATACCATATACAGCACACTTGCATTCAACTGCTGGAGGCAGACTGTACCCTGTACAAATAATCAGCAGTGAATGGATTTATAAGGCATATGCAAATTATACAATGATGTTATATACTTAAAAGAATTGAATCAATGAGCAGCTGGAGTAACATTTCCCATTCCTCCATTAGAGCTACTTGGATGTAATTCATGTGCTGACAAGAATCTTCCCTAGCATTCCATAGATGTTCAGTTGGCTTCAAATTTGGTAAGCATGATGGCTAATGTACTTGCTTAATACCTCCATCTTCCAAGCAGTTGTGAACTAGATGAGTCCAGTGCAAACAATGTTTTTTTAACTAAAAGAAAGCTATAATCATCTGCAACTAAATATGGAAATACTAATAGTTGTAAAATTGCATCCCCACATCATATGGTACTTGTAACATGCTGATGTAACATATGAAGATCAATTTGGCTAGCAATACTGATCCCTACCATGTCACCATTATTGATGCCTATCAAGAACAATATACCACCATTGCTATACGGATGTTGTTATTTTATGAAATGTGGCCCATGTCACTTTTTAAATATCTTCAATATTGCTGTAATGTGAAGCAGGACTCATCTGTAAACAAAATCTTTGCCTGCATTTAATTTCTTCACCTTACACATTTTGAAAATTGCCAAAGTTGGGTTGCTTGTGAAATATACCCAACTAGTCAACTGGTATAAAAACCAGCTTTATGAAATTTGTTTTTGACAGTCTACATTTTATCTTGCCATCCAGTAGCTACTCTTAAATGTTGATTTTTGTGTTGATGGTCTAAAAAAAAAAAGTCCACAATCAATCACTCTGCAATGACCTGTTGTGTTCGACCAGCTTCAAAACAACTTATTTTTATCCAAATTATGGAAATTATCACATCTTTGATACAGCCCCAACATGTTTCGCTATTGATCTGGATCTCTTACAGACACACAGACAATGTTGTTTTTCAAATTACTTATGAGAACAGTGTTTCCTTCACTTTTATATATCACTGAAATGTACACATCAAATACACTGATTTTCTGTAAAAGTGAGTTCAGGCATTATACTGATATTTAATAACAATAAGTGTGTCTTGTCATAGCTACAATACAGAAAATTTTCGTTATCCCTTAAATATTTTGAGAAATGAATATTGTGACACACCAAAAATATATCAGGATATACTTTGGAAAAACACATAGTTAATTTCTGTTTGTAAGTAAATAAATAAATACCCCTTCGTGAAGTGATTCATTTGCCTCTCCATTTTGTCCTTCCTGTTGGTTTTTCTTTTTCTACAAACAGAAATAAAAACGAATTTCAAAAAAGAATGAAATATAAACTTTAAGGTACATTTTTAGATCCCATCACTGCAAGGATACTCTGAATATAATCATCAAAACGTTTTCATGAATTAACCTTTACCAAATCTCAATAGAAAACTACACATTAAAGGCTCAATAAGGGAGCAAAACTCATTGTCTACTAAAATTTTGATAAAATAAGCATCAAAGCCAAACATTATTATTACTTTTTAGTTTGTGTAAATATACACAAATGTTTGTTGTTAAAGCATAATTTCAATAATAAGGATCATCCCACCATAAAAATCTTTACTTCAAAATAATAATAATAATAACAATGTACAATTTTTGAGATTTATTGGAACAAAACATTTTCAGTACTTATTATTTCCTATATGCTTATTACATGATTATAGTACATCATTCAAGACTTTATTTCAAAATATGAGAAACATTATTTTGCTGTTTATTTTTATTCTCAGAATAACTTGTTATAAACAAGAATGTTATGGGTAAAATGCAAATGTTATGATGGTAGAAATTAATAATCTATCAAGAGTTATTTTTTTGACATACAAGTACTTTACAATTCTTTATACAACTTATGATTGTTCCTACAAATGTACACCAAAACCTGGTGTAAATACAATTTACATAGAAAATATTACATGCTTCTAGAGGAATAAATGAAACAAAAATATAAACACAAACATTATAAGCATCCTTTACATAACATTAATAAAATTTTAAAATGAGTAAGACAGCTAAAAAATATGTAAATTAACATTTACAAAATTCCATACACAATATGAACCTGAAGAGCTCTCCCAATTAATGTACTATAAAGTGTATAGACTAGTATTTATGAATAATGTGTTTCCTGTACAATCATAAAAACAGGGAAACATTTATCAAACAAGTTTCTTCCATTTCAGAAGTAATTGTAATAATAGTTTTCAACATAACATAGAAAGTAAGTTAACTTCTTATCTTTTACAATAAGCATAAAGTTTTAACCACAAAAGATTGTTACTACCTCTGAGATTGATAAAAAACAATCCATTTATTAAACACAAAAGTTTTTTGTACATACATAAAGCTACTGATCTTCTAAGTGCTTCCTGTTCTGTTTCAATACATTGGAAAATATTACAAGCTGGGCAGATTATATTAACTCAGTTGACTATGACAGTTAACTTTTCATTCAGGTGACCCTGCAGAATATGGTTTAACTCTCTCACTGCAGGCTTGGGCAGTTTGACTGAGTTTGTGACCCCAAAGTGATCATCATAGTTTCTATAACTTTTAATATGTTTTGTGTATATTCAGGTTTTGAGTAAACATTGCAGGTCTTTTGTATACAAAAAAATCAATGTTTTAATTAAGTATTTCTTCATGAAAATATGAAGTCAAAGTGCTGACTGCTCAAGTACAAAGTGATTTTCATGTAAAGATTAAATATACTTTTATTCATCTTAAAAGCTTCAAAATTCATTTGCATAATTTCTAGAACCTTGTAAATAAATATCAAATGTTTTCTTGGTAAACCTTCATAACTTATCTGTTATTTTCTCTACTGTAACTCTATATGCATTCAGTCAATTTTACTGACCTCTAAATTACTCTTTTTTTCTCTTTCTAGAATAACTGTAAACTGTAACAGAAAACTACAGTTGTGGGTCTGATTTTCTAGTTTATGGCTTCAGAAACAAATAAGATTGAAGACTATAAAAATTATCTAAAAAAAAATTTGCCTGATTAATATCTAAATTAATGAAAAATGTATGTTAAGTTCCATACTTTTCAGGGGAATGGTAAACAAATTACTGAAGATGAAAGACCTAGAGAGCATATGTCACTATTCTCATACTAAAGCAGATTGAGGATTTTTAAAGTATTTCATTATAAAATTAAGAACTTAAAGCTTACATAATATTAAAACTTGATTTATCAACCATGTATTCAATGATAATAAAGTAGCTTTATTAAATACTGGATGTAACTCTCTTAAAACTTGTGACATGTGTACTTTAATCTGCCCATAGCAAGTGTGTTAATCATGGATATCTTGCAATAATTTTTTTATACTGCAACACATTTTTTTCAAGCTGCTATATACACATACAAAATTAAAACATTGAATAAACATAGTTCTAAAAAATTTTAATATACTATAATTTTTTATGTTTAAAAATTTGTGTATCTCAATTACAAAACAAAATTGGTGCATACCTTTTTCTTCCGTTTTCGTTTTTCTTTTAGCTTTCGTCTTTGTTCAGCTTTATGTTGCTTCACCATGTCTGTCAAATTGTGAATATACTCATCAGTCTGAGAAAGTAAGAATGCCAGACGTTTGTCCTTCTTTTGATCGATTAACTTACGATAGCCTTCTTCATCTTCAGCCTAAAAAAAATTACTAATTACTAGCTTCCCTATAATTATAAGGGACCAAAGGTTCATAATAAAACAGAACTGCTTAAGGTTTTCTTAAAACTTTGTTTTGTTATGTTCATCAAAAGCTGCTCACGGGCAATCTGTACTATCCATCCCTAATTTAAATATAACATACTAGAAGGAAGGCAGCTAGTCAAAGGCACCACCACTTATTCTTGGGGTGCTTCGACTGAATAGTGGAATTGAATGGATCATCACTTTTATAATGCACACACAGATCCAAAATGCAAGGCCCAGTTTATTTTTTTACAATACAATTGACCCACAGATCTATATTCCATTATACTAACCACTGGGCCTGCACTTAAAATTAGGTAAAACAAAGGCGAAAATGTAAGAAACATAATGGTTAATTGTCAAAATGTAACTTCTAATACTTATTTCAAAGGAAATGTTGAATTAACACTCATTAATAACAAGTTATTGTAATAAATTATTATAGGAGTGTATAAAGTGTCTAAAATATAAAGTGTCTTTATCTGTAAGAAAATAAAAGCATACTAGATACACTGTGTACACATCTACACACTAACCTCTTCTCATTGATTATATAAATATTTATCTATTACAAGCCCACAGAAAAAATGAATAAAACACATTGGAAAGTTTTCAGTGGTTTTAAATACATATCATTAAAATTCACAAAACACAAAAGCTACTGAACATTATTTTTATGTAGACATACAGTAGTATGCAAATTTACTAGAACATCTAAACAATTGCTATTTTATGATACTTCAAACACAGTAGTCATTGATTTGCTATGGAATTTAACGTGCAAATTAATCTTACAAGAAATTATTACAAAATTAGTATATAAATAATGTTTTTAAACTTATTTAATGCTAATATTTAGTGCAGTCACATTTGGCTTCAATAATAGATTGACACCTTTGTGGCATTGTATCTAACCTATGTAGCATCCTTTCCTTTTGTTGGCATTTTCCTTTATTTGCCAAATAAACTTGAAAATTCTTGGAAGTATGTTTTGAGATCATCATCTTCATGAAATATTAATTCTGCTCAAGCAGCTTCTTTCAAGAAGATGTAATATGATGGACTAACCATACTGTGGCATTAATGCTGATCCATGATTCCAACAACTTTGAGAAGATGGCCAATACTATTCCCAAATATTGCCACCTAAGCTATTAAATAGTCTCCTACATGATTGACTGTTTGCACAAAACACTCATTCCAAAACCTCTCATTGACTGTTCTGCAAATATATACACACTAAGTAGAACATAAAACAGATACACTGCGCCACTGTTCCAAAGACCAGGCTACACGTCCTTTCACAAATACTAGTCTACATTTCCTACTGCTACATTTCCTTTGGGCAGTAGGACTTTCTTGGTACTATTCTTCCCCAAAAGCTATATTTATGCAGCATTCCTGAGACTGTATTTTTTAAAACTATCTGCACATGATTTGTTAGTCATCTGCTAGATTTACCTTAGTTTTACTTCACTTTTTCAGAGAATTGATTCTTAGATATCTGACACATCTTTCAATGAGATTTTTTCTTTGGCACCTTCCTTCTGATGCTATTGGAGTGAATCTTCATGTATCTGTACAATATGTACCCCACAGTAATTGATTACTAACCTGGTCTTTTGTGATTTTTCTTAAACTCCAACAAGCATCATGTAAAGATTGTACTCAGAATTTGTCAAATGGTGAATTCTCTCTGTGTCTTAATATTTTACTTGCAACACCACACTATATTAGCTTACTGGACAATGTTTTTGAAAAAAAAAAAAACTTATATACCTACATGTACCTTGTATGAAATATCAGAATGTGAATGTCAGCGATGAATATTACAGAAATTAAATGTAATAATGTGTGATGATGTTGCAATATTTTGTACTTAAACACCTTAAACAACTCTTAAAAATCTACTGCACTTAAACATTTGCGACTATATGTTGCTTTTGTTTTAAAATTTTAAATGAATTATAAGTCATGGATAAAGTGAGAAAATCACTAATGTGCCTCCTTTTGATATTTTATGCAATATTTTAAACCACAACAGCACAAGAAGTCAAAACTATAGAAGCAATGGGGTAATCAAGTAAATCTCATGCTAATGTACTTCCTAAAGATGTTTAATCACAAATAAAATCAGATATAGCAAACAAAAATGCTTCCCACAACTTCACAAATTAAACACAAATAGTAACTCACCATCAATCGGCGCATACGCTCCTTTTCTATCCTTTCTTGTTCTTTTTTTTGTTCTCTTTCTGTATTAGCATGATAAGTGCTAACAGCTTTGTTAACTTTTCCAATTTTATTTAATATATTACGATGATAATCTTTGAAATCTTTTGCATGTTGTAGAACTGCATTAAGGTATTCCTACAAAACAAAAAACAATATCAACAATATTAAAAAAAAAAAACAAGTTTTTTACATTTAAGTGGTAAGCAATACTATAAGACTTCCATATAACAACTGCTAAGATATCTAAACACATATATCTTTTAAGTAGATTGGTCTAAAAAAAATTTATTCATACACAAGCATAAAAAACTAACTGGTAGGAGTCTTGACAAAAAGCCATCAGAAAAAGTTGAATAATTCTAAATTAGTAATTTCTTAGGACTAAAACTTGATTTCACAAGTCTTAGTTACCATGTTATATCTTAAGCAATCGCTAGTGCTTTTTAACTCCTTTTCATACTTTCCTACAGATCTCCTATAGGTTCATGCTTAGTTACTCTGAGAAATTTCAAAAACAATAGTTTCTAAGAACATCTGTAGCATGTATTAAAACATATACATTAGCAGTATTGTGCTAAGTATGTGGGATAATGGGAATCCTGTATTTTTTAATGTGCATCCCCTGAAAACAGTACACTGCAGACTTTTGAGGCATACCTGCCATTTTGTCCTGTCAAATGAAAATTTCCACAAGTGTAGGCCTATATTTAAAATCAACAATTCTTTCTGACACATATGTTGTAAATAATTCAATTTCACATTTGACCAACCAGAGGGTCACTAGTATGCAATTCTACTACATTCAAAATTAGGCTAAAAGTTTGTATATCATAACAACAAGCCTCACCTGCATAGCAAGCAACTGAGGAATCTGATCATGGCCAAGTGCATGATTATTTTACACTTCTTTGTATTGTTTATGGCTAATTACTGTAAGTATATGCATAAAATAAAATAAATAAGGGATACGAGCATTTGTAGCATGATTTACAGTACTGATAAGCAATAAAATACACACAAAATTACTGTACAAATACAATATAACCCAAGATAACTTCTGAACTACTACTTAAAGTGTTAATATCAATTACTAGTGATGCACACACCCATTATATTTTGGACTAAACACAACTTATTTATATATGACTAATGTGCTCCATCAATGCAAGTTATCTAAGTTTTCACTTTGAAAATTAAAAATTGTTGTAGCATTGTAAAAACTTGTTTAATGTGGAAGTAACTAGTAAAATAGTGCTAATATAATCCTATTTCATCAACTAAATATAACTGTTTCTCCTTAGTAATACTTCTCAAAGTGAAAAACAATAAGCCTCAAAAGTGTCCCTCTAAATTCCTACAGTTTCCCCTTAATTTAAATACGAGGCAACATTCTAGAACCTCGGAACAATACTACACAAACCAGTCAGTCTCCACTTAAGCATAGCTTAGTTCATTAAAAAAATATGGCATAATATGTTGGCATCACACCTTAGTTTCTTTACATTCATTTATAATACTTTTGCAAGGACTAAAAATATCTCATTAGAAAAACTGTTTCAAATGTTAATAATAAAACATTTTGTAATGTTCATTTTGCTCAAAGACATTTTGTAAAAAACTCAGCACTAAACTTTTTTTGTATGACACAATTTAACATAAATCTGTTTTATTACCTAGCTGTAAATATTACAGAAAATAAAGATTTTTTGATTTACTGAAACTGAACTTAAACATCAATTTTTTTTTTATGTATGAAAATTACATAGATCAGGTTTCAAACACTGTTTCTGGAGACAGCTGTATAAAATAAGTGAAACATGTAACAATGAACAGTAAAACAATGGAGAGTTAATCTAAAAAATATTGGAAAGTGGAATAAACTAATGTAATCATCACATATATTTAACAACAAAAATTTATTTGAGAAATACAATCAGTTATACCTCGTGATAAATACAATACAAACTAAACATCCTGTGCTTGAACACTAAATATTTGAGCCACTTGCCTCCAAGGAAGACGTTAAAACGTAAATTTCCAAAGAATAAAAGAAACCGGCAGCATACAAAAATATTTTTTTAATAACTTGTTTTAAAATACTAAAAGTAATAATGTTATGAATCCAACCTCAATTATACCTTAAAAACAAATAATGTTACACTTATTAAGTATATGATAATTTGCTATGATTGAAGCAATGAAAAACAAGTTTAATCACAAGTCCTGTATAATATTCATCATCAACAATAATAATAGCTTTTAGGCTTGACATATGCTAATGAGTGGTTGTATATGTTATACAACAAATGTAAGTTCTTGAGAATTTTGAATTGACAGTACATAAACACAAGAAAAAAAAATATTTAAAATAATGATACTCTCTGGCACCTAGATTAGCATTTAAAATATTTTTGTCATCTTTTACTTCTCTAAAAAGTACTAGTATTTAAATTTTGTTGAAATTATACCTCAAATATATAAGTAAGAAATAAAAAGAAAATTTTGAGACTCTACATGCTTTCATTTTCAACTAACTTCTTATCTTTATGCCAACAAAATGCTATCATCAGTAACTGCCTCACCTGATGTTTCTGTCTTCTCTTCCGTTCCTGTTCAAGCTTCTGCTGTTTCTCTAATTTTTCTGTGATTCGAGCTTCTCGCAGTCCTTGCCGTTTATTTCTTTTGTACAGTTTAGGGTTCAGTGCTGTCTCAAGAGTTGAATCTTTTCGCATACAACTTACAACCTCAGCCCTAAGCTGTAATAAAAATTAAGTTTTTTGTCTTGATTATTTCTTATAAAGTGAAATGAAAATATGATTTGTTCTTATAATAACTTTGGGTTCTTTTTTTCTGGCATTTCAATGAATACTTCATTTATATCAAAACAGATGAATGAAAAAAAGACTAAGTATTGCTGATACAAGTGGATTGTATTTCAAGATCAATATAAGATAATATCAACATAAAAGCTGTAACTATTACTATAAAACCTGAAATTCTCAAAAAAAGACCATCTGGTTAACAAACAAATGAGAATATTAATACAATATGAAAAGTTGTACTCACTGATATCTTTCAAAAAAGGATATTAATATTAAGCATACCTGTCTCTGAAAGTTGAGAAGTCTTAAAGCTCTTAGTTCAATAGTAGCTTTTGTACGAAGATCTTCTGGTAAGCTTCCAGGAAGATTAGAAAGTTCTTGAATTCGATGAGCAATCCGAGAGGCAAGTCTTCAAAGAAGTAAATGTAAATCATTAGTTGTTTATACTGCATACAGGAATATTATTAGAATATCAGTAACTTGGTCAAGTCTTTCCCCTAATTTGCTTCTATTCCATAGTAAAAACTCTCACCCTGTTCTGTTGGTATTGTGTAGAACGATAGGCCAAATACTGCCTACACACAATCAAGAAGTAAGTTTTAAAATGATTTTCAAGCTTAATATATCATACAATTTTAAAGTTAAATCACTCAATTATGTTCGATTTACATCTGACTTATATAAGTGTAAACATTGTAGTAGTATATCTTTTATTACTCTTAACACAGGATCTCTTCCTCAATCAGAGGAAAAATTTTCTTGTTAGCTTCCAGGAAGACTAGAAAGTTCTTGAATTTGATCAGCAATATGAGAGGCAAGTCTTTAAAGAGCTGTCAAAAAGTCCATTGTGATTGTGTACACAATGGCTGTACAGGTTGCAAGTCAAACATCTCAGAACTTTGCACATGCAGGTATTTCAGGGAATAATGTGATTGATGATGACATGCTCAAGACTAGCAAAGTTCCAGTCATGGTAAGCTGGGTTTGGAGCTACTTGCTGAAGATCTGTTTTACTCTGGTCTGAAAAACAGATGCAATGAGACAAGCAAAGAACAAGAAAACTCACATAGTGAACCCAAAGGTTAAACAACAAGACATACCTTCATTAACTATGGGATTTCTGCTTATGATGTGAGCAGTCATAACCTGGTCAATGTTTGTCCAATTTGGAAACTTTAAATTGTGACCAATATCTCACCACATGCTACATCCTATACAAGTTTCACCAAAATCAGATAAATTCTAGATTTTTTATGAGCCTTGCCACCAGGGCATCACTGGTTGAAGCAGCAATCCTTTGTTTAAATGTATATTATACAGTATAAAGTCATGCAATTATTGCTCATTTTACTAACAATATTGACAAGCATAAACTAACCACAATAAAAATATTTGGAAATTTTAAACAGAAAATTTATATGAGAAAATACACAGTAATTACAATTTGAGCATTACAGAAATAATTTATTTTTCAAGTGAATTACAAAGGTGCATGTTTTGTATATTTTTCCAAGTTTTCCAAGTTCTAATAGTATGTAATATCATGAACACATAACACAAGTATATGGGCATAAAATTATTTTATGCTTCTCCCAATTACCTGGTTTGCTTAACACTGTTTATTGAAACTTTATCATTTTACCTCACATCTATCAAATACATTAAGAAGTTTGTTTTCTCTGTGTTAGCAAGAAGCAGAACTGGGAGAGAGCACTAAAAGAGTAAAGACAATTGAAAGCTAAGTTGTTGTTTTTTACTTGTGGCCCAATTAATATTCTTAATTTCTTAAAAATTCTCTAATTAACTTGAAGTTATTTTGAAAATACAAAAGTCAACTTAAATGAATGTACTTAGATAGTGCAATTTTATTCTAAATTAGGCTTACATTTGTTTTCTCTGTTACTATAGTGTTAAGCAGATAGTAAATAGTAGGCCTATGTGGAGAAAATACATTAGATAGTGAATTAGTAAGGTTATTAATTGACTGTTATGAAATTAACATATGAGAAGATGGTTAAATGGAACAATATTGTTAGGCCTGAGTACTGTTAACCAAAATACCTAACATTACTGTCTTAATATAATAAATTACATTATATTAAGAAGATAAGAATCTGGCTTACTTAATTAAACCTCTGTACCTTTTGTTTTCAATGGCTGTAGTTAAAAAAATATTAACATTCTTCATAAGCTTTTATAAATACTCTATTTAGGCATAATTTTGAGTCATTTGACAATACAAAAGTAACTTGGATTAATTTGCTTAGTTTATGCAGTTATATTCCGAGTACTAGTAAATAATCTAAAAAAGTAAAATACATAAATAAATAAATCTCACGTATCAGCTGTCTGGGTGCCATCAATTTCGTGTACATTTCCAACATCATTGACCAAGATACAGTTCAAATTTGCCTTTGTTTTACAGCATACTTCAATGTAGATGTTGTATGCTAACTATACCATTCTCTTTGTCATTGAATGTTGCCGAATAATCTGAAATTGGATCCATCTGTAAAGAACACCCTCCTCCAGCTTTTCTCATTACAATGTTTGTAGTCTGATGCTCATTTCAACCTTTAGTTGGTTCAGTTCTCTCTCTTAAGCAGTGGTTTTGGAACAGCTACAAATCCATTTGAGGCCACTTCATACTAATGCATGTTTTACTGTTTTGGAGGTAACATTCACACCTGTGCTTACAACTAGGATGTTGGCAAAGTCTTTACTGGATTGCTATTTATCACATAAAAAAGCATATCCTGAATTATTAAATATCACTTTCGAGATTCTAGGGTTACCACTTTGACCAGTTCTATTATCAAGAGTACTAGTTTCATGTAACATCTTCAGTTTCCATACAGCTCCTACTGAAACATGAAGTTCTGCCTCCATATTTTGCACGGAGTAATCTTCGTCATCCAATAATGTTGATTCATTAATTCATCATGTGGTACTTTTGTCCTAAGAGCCATAAGTGCATTCATCACACCCCTGCAGGGACTAGTATGATAACTTGTACATTTATTGGCATTTTGCTGGTGTGGTACTATCTGATTGATTGGATGACAGCCAAATACAGCATAAACTATCAACATCTGATTTTACTCTGGTGCAGATCATTTTTATACAATAGAAGGGGGAGCAATAAGTATAGAACTGCTAAGAAAATATTTCATTATTCCATCCTTTGCTCAGTATAATCTTTATGGAAGGTGTGATGATGAGTTTTTGTGTAGTTGGTAAACTTTGTGAGAGAAATATGGTGTTTCTTTATCATTAGGATAAAAGTTGGCTTAAATATTTTAAGTATGGATGTCGATAGTGCTTCACTATGATATGCAGTCAAGTGATGAGCCATTGTTTTCAAGGCAGACTTTTCAAAGTTTTTGTCTAACAATTTCTACTCTTTAGAGAGAATACCCATGCAGTTCATAAATATCTGTCTGAATAATCTCCTGAAAATGCTAATCTGGCAGCACATGAGTATTGAAAGAGAAAGTGACAGCAGTGGTCAGAATTGTTCCATGCTGTGCTTAAAAATGTGTGTTTTCTTATAGCAAAGCCACATTGGACTATCTGCTGTGTCCACCAAGGGGGATTGAACCCCTGATTTGAGCATTGTAAATCTGAAGACTTACCGTTGTCCCACCGGGAGGGATGTGCTTAAAAATACTGGCATTGCCAGTTTCCAGTGGCAATGTGGAGAGGGCCTTTTCAATGATGAGAGTAATCACAGGTCACAGAGAGTAAGTCAAAATGTCAAATGAAGCAGAGAAGGTATATATAGGATGAATTTTAATCCTTTGGTTGAGGGGTGTGTGACTGCTATTCTGTTGTCTGCTATGTTTTTAGGACAAACTACAGCAGAAGAAAATGTATATTTGTATAATACCATATTTTCACACAAATAACCCACGGGCTATATGCTAAAATTAGTTTTCAAAAATGCCAACTGCGGGGTATACTCGGGTGCAGGTAAGACTGAAATTGCCAATTTTCTATTTTGAATATTCATTATGTTGTTCTTGTTCAACACATCATACAATTCATCAATTGGACGATAAGTACATCTGTTAGCAATCCCAGTTATTCTCTTGTCAAAGTATAAATATGAATACCGTATTTATCAGTATTTGAATAGATTACAACTGTGACTTATTTAATTGCTCATATATTCCAAGACGAGTAAGTTTCATTTTCAGTGTGACAGATAGTGTCACCATAACCTTTAACTGGCTTAACCACATGACACAACCACAGGGAATTGAGTTAAATTATCTATGAGTTACAAGCTTTTTTGTATGTTTAATCATAATATCTTTAATAACAGTTCGTTTACAGATATTACACACATATATCTAATTGGATATGAAATAATTAAATGACTAGCATAAACATTACAATGAATAAACTGTACATCATATAAGCAGATAATAGTCACAAAATTAAAATTGCACAGAAAAAGGTAGGGTGTAAATTGTAATACATTAGTAAATCAAGAAGATTTCAAAATGACGTATTCAAAGAAAAAGAAAAAAGGTATTGTTCATTTATTTCATAATTTTCAAAATTTCATTTTACTATATACTGATGATTTAGTTACAGATAGTGTTGGGATAGAGAAAATAACTGATAAAATAAAATATTTCACTGAAACAAGATCTGATACTCATTTAGCACATTCTAGAGATTATGTATATAAAATATGAAAATAATTATTATTATTCTTAGCACGAAAATTGCCTTGCACTCAATCTCACTGTAAATTCACAGACAAAGTTTTAGCAAAATTATTTATTATAAAATCAGATTTTTTTGTGTTCAACAGATTTTTAGTGTTTACTAAAATCTTACCAAGTTTCATGAATATAAACTTAGCAAATTCAAAGTTATGGTACATATAGTTTTATGGTTACATGGTGGTTAAAGGTTGTTCAAAATGACCAAGTTCATAAACATATGGTTTGTAGATTTAGAATAAACCAACCTGTTCTCTCTCTCTTTCAAAATCTCAATTGGATCCAGTCCTTGAGGTTTAGCAACAGGAGTAATTCTATTCTGCTTTTGTTGCTGCATCTGCATCATAGCTGGTACAGGAGGATGTCCCCCAGTAGTCTGCTGGTTGAGGGGTCGATTTGCAGCTGCCTGGGGATTAACTGATGGTTGCTGAAGAGCAGGAACATTCTGAATATTCGGTCCTGTTAGGGGTGCATTTGGTGGTGGCATATTACTTTGTACTGGCTGTGGAGGTGGATGGGGAAGCATTACAGGTCTTCTTATTGACATTCCTGTGGGCTGATTTTGAGAAATCTGTTGAACCATCATTGGGCCAGATTGTAAAGGAGTACCAGATGGAGTTGGAGGTCGCATATTTGGCTGCCCTGGTGAGGAAGAACCTATAAAGTAGTGTCCCAAAGTTTGTTTAACCCTTTCAAGTCAGGAGGAATGTCTCTGTTATCTCCTGATCTTTTACATTCTCAGAGTGAAAATACTTAAACAAATTGCATAACATTTATTAAAAAGTATCTAATTTCTGAATGAAAAATTCATAAACTGATTTAGTAATTCTATTATTCTAATTTGTGAAATTTCCAAAACTTTATTATGAGACACTATTTTGAAAATAATTCATTTTGTCTTCCTGTTTAAATTTTTTTAAATGTTGATTAGAAAGTACCACTTTAAACATCTTTCAACTTGTTTGAAATTCATTAATATATTTTACCAATTATAGCAGTCAACTTCCAGCTTATAATTCATACAAGTACCTTATGACTGACAAAAAAAATATCCGTTAACAAAGACTCACTTTCTATAACTATTTTTCACTGTATCATCAAAGACAAAAATACAAAACCTTATAAACTGAGCGCCTTCAAAGAATGAATCATTATATTAATCAAGCATTCACAATATGATATTCTGCCAGCAATATTTTTGGTTCATATCAATTTTTATGTAAAAGTTATAGTTTATTTTCAGTAAATAAGAAGTTCTTGCATTTGTGTTGTTAATACAATCATTTTAATAATATAATAAATAAAAATGGATTTGTATCAACTGAACAGTTTGTCCAAGGACTAATCAATTAAACCTAATTTATCATTAGATGATGTATTGTAATATAAAAATATTCCTATAGCTTTCAAGAGACATAACACAATCATTTTCAGGAATGAAAAGAACATCAAAAGGAAGTATACAAAAATTCCTAAATATTCAGGGATCAAAGTATTACATTCATGCATTCCCATGGAATTTAACTTTGCTTGAGGAATTTCATCTTTTTAGTTGGCTTTCCTGATCGGCAATGCATGGTCCATTCATATTCTTTAGGTTATCGCCAAGAAAAGTGACCATATTACATGGATTAAACTAAAAAATAATTTATGAGGAAATTAAACTTTATATGAGGGAATGTAATCTTCCTGATATCTTTCCCCCCAGTGAATGTAATTTTATTTTATTATTTCAATCCCTGGTATCACAAACTTTGTAGTAGGATTCCTTGTTCACCACTATAGGAGCTCCAGGTAACTAATATATTGAAAATTCACAAATTACTTCTAAAACCACTTCATTTACCCTACATTGACATATATAAATTCTTCCTACACCTTGGGTAGAGTAGAATTCCACAACTTTTTCCAGATCTTTCGCTGACCAAAATATGTTATTCCCTGACCTGATATATGCTTGTAATGGATAAATGATCTACTTACTACCTATAATAACAATGTGAAATTGCAAAACATTACTCATATACTTTTCAATAAAGACAAGACAGGCTATACATTCAGTCACAGCTGCTTAAATGTCATCTTGCAAAGTTTCAATATGATTTGTCAAATTCAAATTATTCTCAAACTATTCATATTTTAACAGAACATAAACAACAAAGGTAGTTTATCCATTTCTGATACTGTATTTCATTCATATTTTTCAGGTTTAATCTAAATCACAAATATGTTATTTAAGCATAAATAACACTATTATCGTGACTGTTACATTTCAACTTTTAATAGACGGAAGGAACATCTCCACTTTTGTAAAATGGAATATGTTTTTTAAGAAGTATGCTTCTCATGTCAAACATTTATTAAAGCAGTATTTTCCACTGTATGTATATATACTATAAAACTATTAGACAAGTTAACAAAATCTCCAGAGTATAGTGCAATATTTTTACACATGCTGCGAGACTGTACGCATCACATTAATCTGTATCATATATCTATCGATCGATGACATTACTGAAAACATTTTCAGGTTTATGCAAGTTCACGAAATTGCAGGTTATACTTACAAATAACTAAATCATAAACTTCATTATATATATATATATATACAGGACACTTCAAACATGGAATCACTTTTGTCTTGGCATTTTTAAACTCTGTCCAACATTATGCACCAGTGACTTTATATACCCAGAGTATTAAGCATTCCTTCTACAACTATTTACATGGGGACTGTTTTATTAATGCACTAACATTTGTAAGATCAAAATAACTTATTAAACGAAAATGGCTTATCCCTAAATAATAATTTGTTAAGAGCTTTTATGCTGTAGTAAAACGATCCTCCATGACTTAGTTTTAGGAAGTTGAGGCAAAGCTTTTTTCCAGAGCCTTTACACTCCAATTAGGCAGTAACCTAGTGACCATTTATGTAGTCTATTAAAACTGCTTTTATACTCCATGATAGTTAATGGTAAAAAAAAAAGAACAATGTAGACAAAACAATATTTATGGATAACATATGCATATTATCCTGCTAAATACAACTTAATTCATCTGCATGCTATTTTCAAAGCTGAGCCTCATTGATAGTAATGTTCAGGCCACAAGATGTGACATCTTATAGGCTGGCAACCCAGGACTGTAGTAATAAAACCAGTGACAGTCAAGGATAATTACATAAAAAACAAGACATGGATCATAACATTTCATATGCATGGTAGCTTCTTAGCAAATATAAATATATACTTTGGGATAAGCAGAAGAATTTTAAAAAAGAAACAATAAATTTGTTGTTTACAGGAAAGACCCCTCTGAGCTTCTGAAAAATGAAATCTGCAGCAATTTTCCCATTTTTCTTTGTTAAATATGCTAAATAAATGTTATGTAATGCTAAAATATCAATTCTCAAATATTTTTGATCACAGTATTGTTGAAATAGAATCACTTTTTTTTTACTGAAATTTTATGAGCAAGTGTACATTAGACACCCTAAGTTTATACATAGGCTATGAATCATGATACAATTTAACCAAATCATAGAAGCTAACCAATCAATGTACTGAAAGATCACTAGTGGTGAAACAAAAACACCAATGTTTTGCACACTAATAAAAATTTTAAGAAAATACATATGAATCATAAATTTATTCAACCCTTATAATGTATAATTTATTATATTATTATTATTCTTTTGATAAATCAAGATAAACTTATAAAATAATTTCTTCTTAATGTAAGATGTACAGTAGCACATATACCATAAAATAATGTTTGGCTACAGAAATATTTTAATATATAATAAGCAGCAACCATGATACAATAACTGCAAACTAAACTTTCATATACAATTAAAAAAAACTTTAAAACCTATGCATAAACATGAGGTTTTTACATTATTGTCTGAGCCTTCTTATAAATAATGACAACAACAACAAAAACTTAAGTTTCATTAGTAACACTACAGCTTTGGCATTTATTAGGCAGTTACAAATTCTTAACTGTTTGTTATTAGTTTTTGCTAAAAACACCGGAGTTTGTGATATTCAAAATAAAATATGCATGCACTCTTTCTAATGTAATTATGTTTCACATATCTTTTTCTTATTAAACCAAATGAATCTAATAAATGTACAACAGGATCCCTGACCTGAAGACTGATGATATGGTGGTTGTGGTGGTAGATGTCTCTTCCCTTGAACAGCCATTCCAATGTAGTCTGGAATCTGTTGGTTTCTTGCAAGAAACTTATAAGCCATGATTTGTGCTCGAAGTTGTTGCATTTGACTTGGCGTGAGAGCTGAGGGTTTCTGACCAGGTATTCCCATGGATCCTTGTGGTTGAGATGCATTAGCAGTTATAGGACTAGGTCCAGGGTCAGGAGCTGGCCCTTGTGGTGGTCCTTGAGCATTTTCTTCCATGTGAGGCCCTGAAGGCCCATTCATCTGCCCACCAAGTCCATAGCCTGCTATAAAAACTACTTTTCTATAAAAAAAGTTATTTCATATATACAAACACACATATACAAAAAGATAAAAAAAAAAAGAATAATTACATTAAATTTAGTTACTACACATTACTAAATAGTCTAGTTTAATTTACTTACCAC